TTATATTCCCAGGTTCTGGGGTTGGGAGATGCAGATACCTTTTGAGGGTCACCCTTCAACCCAACTCCAGTGAACGTACAACCTTGTAAGCTGCCCTTCTGCTTGGCTTTGCTTTATTATTTACAAACTATACTGGGAACCTGCAGTCAGGATGTTGCTTTCCTGGTCCTTGGGTATTAGGAGAGCTTCCTTTCTGGTACGGGTTCTGAGAGGGGTCAGAAAGCTGCTGTCTAGGGGCTAATAGTCCCCGCCAGAGGACAAGGTCCGAGTGAGGCTGAAGATCTGTGTGGCGCTTTGAAAGATCTGACTGAGGAGAGTAGCTGCTGGGGGTGGGGTGAGGGAGAGGATGGTTATGCTGATATCAACTGAGACATAGTTCCCGGTGGTCCAGGCTGGATGCTTTCCCCATCTTCAGTGTGCAGGGACTATTGTCAATCCAGAATCTTGCAACGGTAGTCAGTGGGGGAAAGAACTGTGTCTTATCCTGGCTTGGCCCCCTCTACACCATGTACACATGCAGGTGCACACAAAGTGGGGTACACTGATGATGAGATGCATTTCAGGGGTACAGATGGCTTTAGAGAACATGAGCCCCATTGCTGGACAGCATGGAGTGTCAGGGAACCCCCAGGCCTGAGGTCATCTCAATGAACAAGAAGCAGGAACAAGGCAGAAACGGGGAGCTTTTAAGATGGGGGGGCCTAAATGCAAGGGAGGCCAGGCTCCTCCTGCAGTATCCCTCCTGCCCCCCAAGGTGTGGGAAAGCTGGAACTCGATTTCCTCAGGCGGAGAAGAGTAGGGAGCAGACACCTTCTGGCCTGCCCGCCCTTGTTTGTCTTGGCTGAGGGCTTCACAGGGCTTTTTGAAGCCGATACCATCAGTGCAAATCTGGAGGAATCAGGACATGGATCACAGAGGCGGGAGCTGAAGAGGCCTCAGATGGGGAACTTGAGGTAGTCTTCCCTTAAGTGACATGAATGCCAAGCCTGCTCATTGCTCCATGTATGTGGCTCGGCCCAAGTCCTACAGAGGGGCAGGACCTGTGCTAAGCCCCCCCCCCCCACCCCCCAGGACATGCAAGTTCTCAAAGCCACCCAGTCCTGCGCGCCTGGGGTGTGTCTCTGTGCTTTGGGACCCACACTGATCCTTCCAGTGTCCAGGGGCTCTGGCAACAATACGAGGCCTCCCTGGACTGTGCCTCACCCCTCCCAAGCCCATAATTCCTGATCTTGACTCAGTGCCAACCCCCCTACCACCCTCAGCTCAGCCTGTACACTCCCAGGTCCTGTTCCACACAGATGCCGGCGGGTCACGTGTCCCACAGCTGAAGGCCTCCCCCATCCGCCTCCGCCATCTGCTGAGGCCCCATAATTATTCCAAGGCTCCGTGCAGCCTCTCTTGGAGGGAAGAGCTCATGCAGCCTTGTAATGTAAGCCAGGCCTGAGGCCGCTCGGGCAGGGGGTCCCCAGCTGGGTAATGAGCCTTTCGCTGAGGTGGCCTGGGCTGTCCATCTGAACACCTCATGGACGACAGCGTCTTCTCTGTATCGCAATTCCTGCTCCCCGAATCCTTCCAAACACAGGGCTGGAGGGTTCCCTGGGACTGGCTTCCCACGAGGGACGGTGTTATGCCCTACCTAGAGCCTAGACAGGGTGGAGCAGAGCAAGCTGCTGGTTGGTCATCTTTGCTAGGCGTTGTCTTTCGAAGGGCGTGGGGCAGCTCCCACCCCCACCCCTCCTAAACCTGCTGAGTTGCCCTCATCTCCCCTTCTTGGAGCCTGGGCCCCACAAAGGGAGGGCCTTGGCCAAGGAGGCCAGCGCTGTGGGCCAGGCCTCTGTGAGGGGTGTAGAAAACTGCCTTCTTTCCTCTTATAGATGGCTGCTCAGTCTCAAGCCCTACTCAGTGTCATCCTGAGGCATAAACCCCAAGCCCAGCCCCTCTCTCCTACCCCTCAGCAGGGTGAGGACCCCAATCCCATATTCCCTGGACTCATCATCATCCTTTTGAAATTCCTGTTTCCCGGTGCAAAGTGAACATACCACTGTAGATGCCTGCAAAGCACATAGTAGGCGCTTTAAGAACCACTTGAGGAGAGAGATGGGATAGGGAAAGAGGGAACAGACATGATGAGAGGTAAGAGGCTTGGCTTGTGAGGGTTGTGTCTATGAGGCTCCTCCGGGGCTTTGGGTGGTCTGCAGCTCTGCCGCTGAGGGGTAAGGTGGGCCTGGCTAATTTAGGTAATGGTGTCACTATTGTGTTGTCCTGTCATGACCCCACTTGCTCAGGAAACTCAGGGTGAACCTGAGGTCAAGGGTCACCTAGAGTTCACTGACAGAGCGAGGGTGGCCTCCTGCCAGCAATACCTCAGAGCAGGTCCCGAGTTCACCCTGAAGGGTGATAAGGGTATAGCTGTCTGTGGAAGGAGCTCTTGAAGACAGGCGAGTGCCCAGTAGGCAACTCCTGCCTCTCACACTCAGTGGTTGAGACACCCAGAGGACAGGCCTCTGCCTAGCAGCTCAGCCCAACATCTATTCGCAGTGAGGAACTTGGGGCCCAGTGGAACTTGGTGGCGGGAACCTCCTTCCCTGGGTGTGAGGGAGTCGCAGAGGGACTCAGGATGGTGGGGCACGCGCTATAAGAATGAACTTGAGAATTTCGTGGTTCCCCTGGACGACTTGGCAGGCCCAGCCTGCCTTTCCTGTTGAGCTTCCTCTCTTGAACAGGGGTCTCCTGGGGCTGCAAGGAGGGTCGCCAGTGAAAAATGGGTGAGAGGAGGTGCAAATGTCTCTCCCATTCCTCTCCTCTCCCCCAGATCCCACTCATGGCCTCCGCAGACCCATCAGGCACCCAAGCATCCTCCTTCCAAACGCTCGTCCTGGTATGATAGCTTGTGACACTCTCTCCTTTAAGTGCTGGACAGAAAGCTGCCACTGTCTGTTTCCTTTTGTGGTGTCCGGAAGCTGAGCAAGCCGCAGCCGGGGCAGGGCAGTGTGGCGGCTCCTGCTTTGAGCAGCAGGGACATGGCTTCTGACATTATAGGGATTTCAAAGCAGCAGGCCTCTCCTGCTGTCTGGCTGCCTTACTGGCATGGGCCTCCTCGGAGGGAGGTTTGTTCTGATAGCTTGATAGAGACCTGACACCCTTTGCTAGCCCTTCAGCAGAGAAGACGGATCTTAGACCCATGCAATGGGAAGGAGTCGGCTCAGAACGGGAGAAGCCAGTACTTCACCAACCTAGGAAGAGGGAGAACCTTTAGGTGATCTTGCAGGTGGTTGTTCAAGTTTATCAAGAGAGCAGCCGAGGGCCTCGGGTCCCCCTTCCAGCCACTTCCCTGCTTAAGCACTGCAGCCCAGTCTGCTCCCCAATCCCTGTTGGCTTATCTTCACAAAGGTACCTTCCTTTCCTTCCTTTCCCCATCACTCCGAGCATATAATGACTGTGATACCCTCAAGCTCTTGGGACAGAGATTGCTTCTAACCTCCTGGTCACTTAACGTCTCTCTTTCTGAGCCTCCCACAAATACAACCCTTGATTTTCGAAAACCTCTTGACCGTTCTGTAAAAAACAGATTTTAGGCTGTACCTTGACAGCCGTTCCGGCAGATGGGTGGGGGAGGGGTGGCTTTAAAAGGCCCTGCCCACACCCAACAAGCTGCCGCCCTTGCCTCCTATGTTAAGGGAGCTGTGTGACACAAGGTGAGTTGCTTAGCTTCACTGTGCATCCCTTGCCTGAGTCCAAACCGGACGTACAGTTTGCAGCAAGGATTAAGATGAACTGACGCCCTAGAGAGTCTGGAGTGGGTAAGGAGTGATTGGCACAGTTGGTGCTTCCGAGGACCCTGGACAGATTCCACCAGAAGCCTGGAACCCCATGTCCATAATACCTGGCACCCAAGGGCTCACCAAGCAGGGACCACTGTGGCCACAGGGTGAGGGCAGCTCGGTGGTGGTGTAGTGGAGTCCGGGGACACTGTGACTGCACCGGTTTCTTGGACTCCACAAGTGTGTAGAGAGAGGAGCGAGGAATGTGATCCGTCCCAGCAGCCCAGGGGAGCCAGACCATATCTGGTATGTCTCTCTGGAATGGTTTTGGGGGAATTCACCAAAGTTGGAACTTAAGACGTGGACTGCCGGTAACCCTGTAAGACAGGGATGCGGGTGCTGCCCGCGTGCATACCCCCCACAAGGGGACCTGGTGCCCTGGGTGGGAGTCGGCTTACACAGCGCAGCGCTTGCTGCTTGGCCCGCCCTTGAATGGCCGTGAACTTGTTTTTCCACGTCATTTGCTCTCAAATGTACTCTCGAGCGGGGCGATGCTAACACAGCGGCTCAGGTCCCTCCTCGTAACAAGCGATTGTGTGTTCTTTAGAGGTGGCTGAGAGGAGGAGGGGGCCTGGCCCCAAGGAGGTGGGGAAAGGGAAACAAACCTGCCTCACAGTAAGCGTGCGTGTCCTGGGGCCAGCTCCCCTCAAAGCACATGCCATTTCTGTCCCTGGAAAGGGTTAAAGGCCTCCTGGAGTCAAGAACAAGCAGGTGTCCCACCGTGCCAGAGACCGCTGCCTAAACTGCTTCCAGCTTTTCCCCCTTCTGCAACACGTCTGTGATCAGCCACGGGACAGAGGCGCCAGCAGCCTGCCTCTGACAGGCATCAGGTTAGCTCGCTCCCACTTGGGTGGTGCGCCCAGGATATAAATCCAGGCTCGAGCCCCTGCCGTGTTCCTCTCCCTGCGCACCCGGGGTTGGGGGGGGGGGGGACGGAGTTTCCTTCCAAAGACCTTTCTTTTATCTGAAGCCTCACAGCCCAGCAGGCTGCACTTGGTGGAAGCGGCCACAGCAGCCGAAGCCAGCAAGCAGCCTCAGCAAGGAGACTTGCTGGGGTGAAGAGGGCAGGTGTGCCAGCCCCTGGAGAAGGGCCCTGGTGGGCCTCAGCCCTTGATATCATCACAGGAAAGCCCTCCGGCCACTGCAGACCGCACCATGAGGGTCCCAGAGTGTCATCGGTTCTGGTTCCACTGGGGGCTGCTGTTGCTGCTGCTCCTGGGGGCACCCCTTCGAGGCTTAACATTGCCACCCATCCGCTATTCCCATGCGGGCATCTGCCCCAACGACATGAACCCCAACCTTTGGGTGGATGCCCAGAGCACCTGCAAGCGAGAGTGTGAAACTGACCAGGTGAGTGGGATTCCTTTAGCCTGAGATGGACCATTGAGTGGGTCTGTGATGGTGTGGGAGCTTTGGGGTGGGGATGACTCAGGAGGGCCTCCAGGAACACGAAGGAACACAGACAGCCCCTGCCCACCTGAAGACAAACAGGGGTTGATGTCTGCCTGTATCCTGCTGAGGCCTGAAAGAGGGCGTGGTATCCAAACCACCTTGGAGCATCCCTCTTTGTGTTCGTTGAGGGCTGCTGTGGGCCAGAGCGGCACTGGGCACATGCCGTGTATTGGGATAACATAACAGCATGGTAGATGAGCAGCAGACCACTCACAGGTGAGAGAGATGCCGCAGCCAGGGAGGGACAGGTTGGCTTGGAAGCCTACCTGACGCTGTGTCTGCAGCTCGTTATGCCCAGTTTCTAGGCCCTTTCCCGGGTTGGGACTCGGCCACACAGCGGTGAGGCTGCTGGGCAGTTTGAGTGGGAGCTAGTCTGTGCAAATACTCTAAGTGTCCTGGGAAGAAAACGAACTGAGTTCCCGCCTGTTGGGCTCTTCGGTGCTCCCATCTGCTCCTCCCTTGTGGACACTGCTGTAGGCAAGGCCACTCCCAGATGATTCTTCCCTGGTTACCCAGTGGGTTCTTCCAAGGGCCGTCTTTGTCCAGTCCTGCTGGGAGAAAAGTTCATAGGTTTACCACAGTATCGTGCCTACTAACCCATGCCTGCCCTCGGTGTGGCCACTTCCAGCCTGGTCATCTCTGAGGGTGGCTCAGAGTCTCCCAGGGCTTTGGGTCCAATGGAGGCATCATTGAAGAACATGGGAGGTCCCAGTGCTGCTGGAAGTAGCTGTTCACACTGGGAAGGCATGGGTTTTCCATGGAGAGAGTGGCTTCTCAAGACAGGTGTAGACATTGGTGGTGCTGAGGAAGAAGGACCAGGGAAAGTTGACAATTCTGCCACCCAGAGAGCTCACGCTATCAGATGACTACCTTCGGAGAAACTTTTCACTGATGCTGGTTTGCCTGGAATCAGGTGGCACTTAGGGACAGTGGGACTCTGGCTGACTTTGCCTGCTGTCTGGAGAAGGCACCGGAGTGCAGCTAAGGATCCAGGTAGCCCATGGGGACACTGTAAGTCTTTAAATCAAAGTATTCTAAATATCCCCTCCAGGGTTCCTTCACTAGGTCCCCAAGGGTTCTGGTTCTGAAGTGTCCAGCCATTCCTGGACCTCTGGGTCCCGAGGGAACTGCCTACCCACATTGGAACAGAACAGCCCTCAGGCCAAGAAACAGGCTTTCCTGTTCATCAGTTTGCTCTGTCCCTGTCCACCCCCCGCCCCGGAGATCTCTGTCCCTTGAACGCCAGCTCTGGATGTGACCCATCTCTGTCCCTGAGCTTCCCCTGTTGTGACCCAGAAGCCTATGCCAAACAAGGGCTGCCAAACAAAGTCTTTATTCTAAGCCAAAAGGGGAAAAACAGTAGAGAAGTCAAGCGGCTCCACACAGCCGGGTGGGGCTGTTTTCCCCCTCTTAGCTTGTGTGGAATGTCAAAAGGGCTGGAATCAAAGTGGGAAGGACAAGGGGCCAGGGTGGTGGGGACTGCTTCACACAGCCACTACCTGGTGGAGGATTAGCGGCCCAGCCAGCTGCCCAGCCGCATGGTGTGACATTGTGCAACGCGCCACATGCAACCGCGTTTGTGTCGGCTCTAGTGGCATGTGCTAATTTTGAAGAATTAAAGTAAAGCCTTCCATGGCTCCACAGAAGTCAGAGGGGGATTACAGACTAGCAAGGCTTTGCTCATACCACACAGGGGGACTGTTTTTTGTTTTTTTTTTTTCTGGTCACCAGGGTTCTCTGACATCCCAAATTCAGTGTGTGTTGCGGGGGGGTCTTCTAGATAGTTGTGGCTAGCCTTGAACATGGGCCCAGATGTGACCTCTTCACGTTGGCCAACACATCCTTCCCCCAGTGGGTAAAAGAGAAAAGTCAGCCTCACGCTGTAAGCCTTCATCTGGGTAGCCATATGGTGTTCCATTTCAGGATCCCACTTAAGAGAGCCTGCAGTCCTTTTCTGCCACCTCTCGTCTCTGTGGCTTGAGTGTCGTCTCTCTGCCTCTCTATGTGCTCATTTTGAAAATGACAGTGAGCACATAACCCCTTTCAGAGGTCTGTGGCGCATCCCTTCCCACACTCCCAGCTCTGTGATCTTGGGCGAGTTGTTTAACCTCTCTGTGCTTCAGATTCTGTACAAGGTGGGAATAGTGGTTGTACCCCCTTGGGCCTGGAAGAGAGTGGTAAAACTGAAGGATGGGCAGGAGCCGGACAGACAGTAGGTGCTGAGTCTACAGGGGTTCTTATGGACGTTAAGTGCTTTGTGTAGTCACGCGTGCATGTGCGCATGCACACACACACGCACACACACACACGTATGAGTCCTCATGTCCCAGCCTTTGGGGGGTGATGTGAGACTCTGTACTTGCTTCCTCGCTATTCAAAACTCTGTGACTCTTTCAGGAGTGTGAGACCTATGAGAAGTGCTGCCCCAACGTGTGTGGGACCAAGAGCTGCGTGGCAGCCCGCTACATGGACGTGAAAGGGAAGAAGGGCCCTATGGGCATGCCCAAGGAGGCCACGTGCGACCACTTCATGTGCCTGCAGCAGGGCTCGGAGTGTGACATCTGGGACGGGCAGCCCGTGTGCAAGTGCAAAGACCGCTGTGAGAAGGAGCCCAGCTTCACCTGCGCCTCCGACGGCCTCACCTACTACAACCGCTGCTACATGGATGCCGAGGCCTGCTCCAAGGGCATCTCCCTGGCTGTGGTCACCTGCCGCTACCACTTCACCTGGCCCAACACCAGCCCTCCACCGCCGGAGACCACTGCCCATCCTACCACGGCCTCTCCAGAGACTCTGGGGATGGACATGGCAGCCCCAGCCCTGCTCAACCATCCTGTCCATCAATCGGTCACTGTGGGCGAGACTGTGAGCTTCCTCTGTGATGTGGTGGGCCGGCCGCGGCCCGAGCTCACTTGGGAGAAACAACTGGAGGACAGAGAGAATGTGGTCATGAGGCCTAACCACGTGCGTGGCAATGTGGTGGTCACCAACATCGCCCAGCTGGTCATCTACAACGCCCAGCCCCAAGATGCGGGCATCTACACCTGTACAGCTCAGAATGCTGCTGGCGTCCTCAGGGCTGACTTCCCGTTGTCAGTGGTCAGGGGCGGCCAGGCAAGGGCCACCTCAGAGAGCAGTCTCAATGGCACGGCTTTCCCAGCAACCGAGTGTCTAAAGCCTCCGGACAGTGAGGACTGTGGAGAGGAGCAGACACGCTGGCACTTCGATGCCCAGGCTAACAACTGCCTCACTTTTACTTTTGGCCACTGCCATCGCAATCTCAACCACTTTGAGACCTACGAGGCCTGCATGCTGGCTTGTATGAGTGAGCCTCTGGCCACGTGCAGCCTGCCTGCCCTGCAGGGGCCCTGCAAAGCCTACGTACCGCGCTGGGCCTACAACAGCCAGACGGGCTTATGCCAGTCCTTCGTCTACGGCGGCTGCGAGGGCAACGGCAACAACTTCGAAAGCCGTGAGGCCTGCGAGGAGTCGTGTCCGTTCCCACGGGGTAACCAGCACTGTCGGGCCTGCAAGCCACGGCAGAAACTCGTCACCAGCTTCTGCCGAAGTGATTTTGTCATCCTGGGCAGGGTCTCGGAGCTGACTGAGGAGCCCGACTCGGGCCGCGCCCTGGTGACTGTGGATGAGGTCCTAAAAGATGAGAAGATGGGCCTCAAGTTTCTGGGACGGGAGCCGCTGGAAGTCACGCTGCTTCACGTAGACTGGGCCTGCCCTTGCCCCAACGTGACAGTGGGCGAGACCCCGCTCATCATCATGGGGGAGGTGGAGAGTGGCATGGCCATTCTGAGACCCGACAGTTTCGTGGGCGCTTCGAGCACACGGCGGGTCAGGAAGCTTCGTGAGGTCGTGCACAAGAAAACCTGCGACGTCCTGAAGGATTTCCTGGGCTTGCGCTGAGGCTGGCCCATCTACCCTGACCCTTCTCCACCCACCCACCCCCTGCCCTCAGTCAGCCAATGGGTGAGATCAGGTTAGGCAACCATGGCCAGCGGAGCAAGCTCAGCTAACATGTGGGAAGAAATCTACCATAGGTCTTAAAAACGATCTCTAGTCTTTGGGTTCGACAGAAGGTCTATATCTTTTTTAGCTGGGAGAGAGGTTGGCTGGGGAAGAAAAGACACATGTAAGTTATTTCCCATGAGCGGGCCCTTGAAGTGGTCTCACCCCCCTTTGCTGACCCATGTCCCTCTGGCCAGTCTCCTAACCAGGGTCAGAAAGAGAGGGCATCTACACTGTTAAAAGGTTTAACTTGTATAGGGGGTGTATGGGGAGAGAGCAGAGAGTTCAAGGGTGCTTAAGACGACTTCCCCACCACCGCCTGCTGCATCACTGTAATCAGAGACCACCTCCCACTAAGGAAGCCCCTGTCCAACCCAGGATATAACTTTATCCTGATGGAGGCTGCAGGGACAGCTGCCTTTGATGGAGTCAGTTTGTGTCCCTGAGGTCACCACACCAGCCAAAGCCCTGTTTTCCCTCCTCAGTTGCACTGGTTTGTTGGGTTGCTTCTGTTCCTTTCAGCTCAGTTCAGTGGGCACTTCCTGGGTGCCAGGTGCTAGGACCATAGAGAGTGGCCCTGCTCCCTTGGCAGAGCCAAAACCGCCACGTCCTCATCCCCCAGGAGCCAGTGGGTGATTGGCAGCAGTCAGCCACTACCATCTGATGGACGGTATGCTTTTATAGACCATGGACTTCCTTGGAGAAGTCCCAGGATCTGTTTTGGTAGCAAGGGAAATAAGGAAGACAAAAGGCAGGAGGGGCAGGGGACAGGCCAGGAATCAGAGCGGAGGCGGGCCCAGAGAGAAGGAATATTGCTCGATGCTGCCATCTGGTGGTGAATCTGGATGTCTACAGGCATCAGGAGGGAGGAACTATCTGGGTGGGGTCTGGGAGGGGCCTTTTGGAGATGGCAGCTCTGAGATCACTTGTTTCTCCTGGTCCCAGGCACACAAGCACTGGGTAGAGGATTTGGAACTCCTCTGTCATCTCTGCACCTCTCCTGTTCCCTCTTCAGCCCTTCATTCTGTCCACATCCCTCCAAAGGAGGCATTGTGGGATGCCCTAATGTCTTTTTCAAATATAAGGAGGGCGATACTAAATAAAAATTCATAGTGTCTATTGTTCTACATGCGTGGCTCTTTTGAGAAGGCAAGGAAGGGCCTGCAATCACATCATTGGTCCTGGTGACCTTTTAGGAGGGAAGTCTGGTCGATGGGACCATATTTGGGCAGTGGGGGAACACTGTAGATTTTCGGGTCCCCTATGAGGCTCTTTAACTGTGGCGCTCAGTGGAATAAGCAGGAGGAAACAGAGACAAGAAGGCAGAGTGACTTGTTCATAGTGAGAGGAAGAGAGTCCCAGGGCCCTGATGTACTGTCTAAGCGCTCCGTAGGGAACGGTGGGGCAGCGGGGCCATAGACCCTGCCTCTGATGCTGTGGAGTCTAAGTGAGAAGGTGGGAGAGACAAGAGCAGGGGAGGCTGCTGCTCAGCTGTGACTTCTAGACTTCAGGATGAGGCTGGTGTCCAGTGTCCTCGGGGAGCCTGCTGCGTTCTGATGATGCTGGCGCTGGCAGCGGTGTATCTGGCCCCAGGGAGACTTACTGCAAGTGTCTGGAACCCATAGCCTCTCTGACCCTCAAAAGAGGCACCTCTCTCCTGCAGTTCCCTGTGTGTCCCAGAGCCATACCCAAAGAAGGGATCCAGGCCAGGTCCTGCCCAGCCTAGAAGAGCCATTTTCACCTATAGCGAAGGTTTTAAGAGAGGGCAAGGAGCTTCTATTTCCTAAGAGAAGAGAGGGCGGGGTTGAGAACTCCACGCCATCACTGAAGGACACTGAGCAAGAAACTTAACCATCAGGATGGCATGAGTCATGGTCATTTTCCAACCTGGTCAGGTGTCCAGGGAGGGACTGTCATCTCACTCTGTGCTTAGAGGCCTGAGGGCATTGGCTGAACCTGCTCTCATGCCACAATGTCCAACAAATGGCCTCAGAGCCCAAGGGGCAGGTGCCCAGTGTCCAGCCACACCTGCTGGGTGCCACTGTAGTTCACCTATAACAATAGGAGTCTAAACCTCACGGTTAGGTCCAGCTTGTTGTTCTGCTCCCACGGTAGAGACAGAAGTTCGGGGTACTGCCCACAGTGCTAGGCTGACAGAACAGAAACCACCTAGCCCACGAGACCAGGCTCACCAAGATCTGATTCCAGCCTCTGCCACCAACCTGCTCACTCTGAACCCCTTCATGCCTAGCCCCAGAGAGTAGTAAGAACACAGAGGAGGGGGACATCATGTTCCCGGTTTGTTGTTACTGTGTGTGCTACCCTGCAGCTGGCTTTATGGGATTCAAACTCAGGCCCTCATGCTTATGAGGCCAGCACTTTGGCAATGAGCCGTCTCCTCAGCCCTGGATTTGTTTGGTGTTGTTTTAGACAGAGTCTCTCAGTATAGCTCAAACTCACCTCAGATCTGCCTCAAACTCATGATTCTCCTGCTGCAGACTATCCGGTGCTGAGATTACAGGCATGTCATAGGGAGACCTGGGATTCAACCAATCACCTCTGTAAGGCTTCAGCCTGGCGTGGAGTGTCCCTTCTCCCCGGTAAAGCTCCCTGGACAAGGATGGGCCGCAGGACCTAACACCTCCCGTCATCGTCTGGGCCTTGGTCGACGCCTGTTCTCACAGAGGGCATCTGAAATGAGCCCCTCACAAGGACTGATTTGGGGGCTCAGAAGCTATGAGTCCTGAGGGGATGGGTGGTTGAGAGACTATGGCAATCTCCGACCTGCTGTGTGAGATAGATCTCTCTCTCTTGAAATGCTGCTTGTCTTTTCCTCTTTCTGGCCTTACGCAATGGCCGGCAGTGAGCAGGTTCTCAAGCTGATCTGAGTGTGCAGGGCAGGGGGTACCAGGCAACCTGTGAAGGTCAACCTTGCTCCTCAATCCTGCTCCAGGACACAAAGAACGCAAGGCCACCCACAGCAAGGCCAGTCAGGCTTCCCGTTGTGGTAGAGCGCACTCCTCACCTTCTCAAGGCTGGGTGGCTCTCCTTCCCACTGGCCCGCTCTCCAAGCCTTTTCTTCCCTTCTAATCTATTCAGGCTTGGCTGACACTAGACCAGAATTGTCTCGGCCACCCTTAAGCCAGGCACTGTGGCTTTGTTTACCCTCCTCCCTCCCTCTTCCTGAACCCCTGCCTCCTGGGACACTCTGCTCCATTGTCTGGCCAGCTGTTCCCTGGTCTGATGTCACCCTCTGGACAGTGGCGCCAGAAAGTCACCCAAATGTTAGGACAAAAAAACCAACTAGGGAAAGGGGACAGTGGTAACACGGCCTCGTGGCTGTTTCTGTCAGCTATGATCCCCAACTGCCCCATGGTGATAACGTGGGGCCAACAGAGTTCACTTTGTGGCAGTACCAACACCTTCTCCTGTGGTCTATGCTGAGCTGGCACGAGGCACAGTGCTGTTTCGTAGGTGGGAAGAATAAGGCAAGAGTAATAAGAATTTTCTTAGCTGTGCGCCAAAGCACTGGGCTACAATTCCAGCACTCGGGAGCCAGAGGCAGGAGGAGTTCAAATTCAAAGCCAGATTTTACTTCTCAAAAACAAAGGTAAAACAACAACAACAACAAACAAAGAAAAACGGACTAGGGGGATGGCTCGGTCCAAGCCTGAAGACACGAGTTCGGATCCCTAGAATCTGTGTAAGAGGCTGGGGGAGGTAAATTCAGGAGAAAACGGGGCACTTGCCCGGTCAGTCAGGTAGGCTGGATGTGTGAGTGCCAGGTTCAGTTAGAAGTCTTGTTCCAAAAATACGAAGGCAGAGAGATGGTTCAGAGAGTAAAAGGGTCTGCTGCCGTGCCTGAGTGCAATCCTTACGTGACACACAGCAGAAAGAACCTTTTCCCACAAGTTACACACACACACACGCACACACACACACACACACACACACGCGCGCGCGCTGCGGCAATAAATAAATATGTAAAAAATAAGCACATAAATAAGTAATAATAAAATAAGCTGGGGGCTGACAGAGGAAGACACCTGACGCCAACCTCCGGCCTCCACACGGGCAGGCACTGGCAACCATGCCTGCATGCACACACAAGAAACTTTCCCAGGATCACACAGCTGCCAAACGGCAAACCCAAGGGTTGTGCAGTGCTATGGAGAACTCTGAATGCTTGTTATGCTGTTTCTACTAGTGTACACACACACACACGCAGGCACGCACGCACGCAGGCACGCACGCACGCAGGCACGCGCACATACACTCTGCCCTGCCTGGATGGGCAGTGAGGAGTGCAATCTTGAACCCAGATGCCCCCGCAAACCGTGCCTCCAGCCAGTCATTCGCAGGCGCATCACCCCAGAGCTGTTTACATCCTGGGCACGTGACCAGCTTCCATCACACATGACTGCAGTCATGGCCTAGATTCCTGAGCCAGACATTAGCCTCACACCGCCTCATCCTTCAGCAGGCAGCTCCTTGGGGGACGCCTCTGCTGTCCCTAGGCTGCTTCAGCCTCTTCTCCAAGCCTGGCCTCCCTCTAGGCTGGTGCTGACCCAAATCAGAGTGATGACCAAGGGCTCCAGGAACACTGTGGTCCTGCTCAGAGCTCACAAGGGGGTTCGCTGGATGAACACAGGATCTGGGAGGAGGGCCCTGTGGGGCCACCACATTTTGTGATCACCAGGGGCCAAGAAGGGTCCCTCTGGGGTACCATCCTGTGCACTTCCTCTTCTTATCCCACCTCCCCAAGGAGCCTGGGGCTCCCTTCTCCTCCTCTCTAGGGAATGTATGAGTAACGCAGGCAGGACCGTGGCAGGGCTCCTGGGTCCTATTCTTGGCAGTGCCCTCATTCTGGAATGTGCCCTGAGGTCAATGACATTGCTCTCCGTGTTAGGAGGAAGGAAGGAGAAGCTTCCAAAGGCACCTCCCAAGGAAGAGTGTGGGCAGGCAGGTGGGCAGGCTGGCCGGTCCTTTCCTCTCACATCTTAGGCTTCTCACTTCAAGGTCAGGTTGGAGTGTCTGTGTTCACACCCCAAGTTAACTCAGGACAGGGAACCCTGCCACCCAGACGTCTAACAATAAGCTCATTTGTATGAAAGGAATAACAGACTCTGTCCCGGTATGTACCAGTCCAGACTGGCCCAGAGGTGGGGCCTCTCCCTAGCACATCCCTGGGAAGGTACAGGGTACCCCAACACACCAATGCTATCTGCTCCTTCCAAGTCTTGAGGAAATTGCCAACATCCTGGCAGGATGAAGCTGTAGCCATTTTGATTCTGTTTCCTGGTTTATGGAGAGTGACCTATGCGACTCTGTCAGCAAACAGCAGAAGATGGTGGCTGGTGGCTGTCTTGTGCCCTTTGTGGGTGACAGGCAGGAAGCAGGACCTTCCTGAGAGGAGTAGCTATCACAGACAGGGACGGACACTTGAGTCGTGTCCTTCACATAGGCTGTCCGACTCAGCCCTCATAGTCTCCTACGGTTCATTTTCATTGTCAGCTTGATTAGACGTGGAAGCACCCAGGAGACTCATCTCGGGGCCTATCTGGAGGGTGTTTCCAGAGATTTAACGGAGGAAGAAATACTCACCCTGAATGTGGGTGGCAAAATCCCACGAGCTGGAATCCCAGACTAAACAAAAAAGGGGAAAAGCGGCTCAGTTGGCACAGCGCTGATCTGCAAGTCTGAGGACCTTAATTCATTATCCAGACCCCGCCCCCCCCCCCCAAATCCAGGCATGATGATGTAAGCTTGGAATCCCAGCACTGAGGAGGTAAAGACGGCGGGATTCTTGGGGCTTGCTGGCCCTCTGGTCAATCTGTCTCCCAAAGCCTAACGCCAGAGCTTGACATCTGGCTTTCATATGTACATGGCATGCACATCAGGTACGTACACACGCCACACACAAACGGGCACTGTGAGGAGGAGAAACCAGCTGAGCACCCATACTGATTTCCTTTTGCTTCCTCACTGTAGGCGCCATGTGACCTGCCACCTTCCTCTCCCGCTGCCGCGCCTTCCCTGACTGGTGAACCATGTTCCTTCAAATCCTGAGGCAGACGGAGCCCTTTCTCCCTCACGTTGGTTTTTTTGT